ATGGTGAAAGCCTACAATAGAATGAAATGGCCCTTTCTTCTTGAAGTTCTCAAAACCCTAGGTTTTTCTTCTGATTTCTATCAGATTATTTTTTAATGTCTTTCTTCTGTCTCTTATTCTGTTCTCGTAAATGGTGCTCCAGAGGGTAAAATCATTCCTTCTCGAAGTTTAAGACAAGGGGATCCTTTATCCCCTTACCTTTTATCCTAGCCATGGAATGCCTTACTCGACTCATTCATAAAGCAGAATCTGAAAATCAAATCCAAGCCATTAAACTTTCTGCTAGGGCCCCCTCTATTTCTCATATACTTTTTGCCAATGATATTCTCTTATTTCTCAGATGCCATAGAGACGAGTTAGAGAATCTTAAGGATATCTTAGATCTTTTTTAAGTATCTTTGAGGCAACTCATTAATCTTGAAAAATCTAGAATCTACTTTAGTAGAAATATTCACCCTCGTCACCAGCGTATGATTAGGGGGCAACTTCACATGAAAAATCTCCCCGAAAATTCTAGATATCTAGGGCTTCCTCTGATCTGGGGTCGTTCAAAACGTCATCAGCTTTCCTTTCTTTTAAACAACTTAAAACATAAACTCAATAATTGGAAAGTTACTTCAATTAGTCAGGCTAGCAAAAGGGTCCTTATTCAATATGTTCTCCAAACTATCCCTAATCATATGATGACCTTAATCCAATTACCCCACAAAACTATCTCGGCCATAAATTTGATCATTAAAAATTTTTGATGGGGTAAAACAGCCTCCAACTCCCATCCTTACCACTAGTGTGCTTGGACTAAGCTTACTCTCCCCAAATCTTGTGGTGGCCTAGTCTTTCGAGAAATTAAGCTAGTCAATTTAGTCTTTTTGAAGAAACTTGCTTGGAAATACCTTAATGAGCAAAATAAATGGTGGGCTCAAATTTGGAAATCCAAGTATCTCCCACGAGATGAAATTTTCCCCCATAAGATTTCCTGAACCAGTTCATTCTTTTGGAAGTCCTTAGCTCCCAATCTCCAGCTCCTCTTCCATGAAGTAGGTTATTTGGTTTCACAAGAATCCACTTATTCCATCTCACAAATCCCTTGGATTCAAACAAATCAGTTTTTTCATATGATCTAGAGGCCCCTTTACAATGAAGTTTCCAATCTAAGGTTTAATGATTTAATTCTTCATAGAACTTGGAATGTCTCAGCTATTTCCTCAGTTTTTGATGATTCTCAAACCTCTACCATTCTGAGAACCCCTATCTTACCTATGAATACCCCTATAACTTGGGTTTGGACTAAACACCCTACTGAAAAATTTTCGAACTCAACTACCTATAAAAATTTAATATAGTCCATTTTACCTTCTCTAACTCCAAATACTCAATCTTGTATTAAATGGATTTGGCGCCTAACTTGTCCTCCTCATTATCAACTCTTTCTTTGGCGTGTAATTTTTTATTACCTTCCTGTTAAATCGAAAATTTTCAATACTAATCAAGATCAATCTTGTGTCTTTTGTCATTCTCAGCCAGAATCAACAATTCATCTTTTCCTATCTTGTTCCCTTACTCAAACAATTCTTTTCACCTCCCCTTGTAACATCAATCTAAATGCTTCATCCACTCAACATTGGTTTGATTGCATTGTTCTCTTATCTCAGAAATTGCCTAATCCACAAGATTTGATCATGGCTCTTAATTGGTATGCAATTGCTTTATATTACATCTGGTTTGCAAGAAATGAAAAAGTTATTAAAAACTCAAATGTTTCCAATACTTGGATTATCCACAAAACAAATTCTATTTGCAACCAAATCCCTGTTAAATATGATATTTCTAACTCAATTCATCATCCTCCTCCAAAACCGTTTTTAACTCTCAAAGAAAATGTAGACTGTATTATCTTCACAGATGCTGGTAAAATTTCTGCTTCTTTATTTTCTTATGGAGTTATTTGTTTAACAAATCATTTGGAGTGTCTCTACATTACAAGAGGAAGAAGAACCTTATCATCAATAGAAGAAGGGGGACTTTTTGCTTTATATCAAGAACTTCTGATAGCGAGACAACTGAACAAGCACAACCTGATCCTGTACTCAGATTCTCAATTAGTCGTGAAAGCTCTTAAAAAGCAACAAGATCTATCTTAGCATATTTTAGAACTTCTTACTACAACTCTAAACTTATCGTTGTCTTTCTCTACTTCAAGTTTTGTATATATTAATCGTACTTTTAATGTTCCTGCTCATGAACTTATAAAATGGTGTAAAACCTCTCAGCAGGAACATATTTCTCTCTCTCTCACTACCCCTCTTTTCTTCTTCCCATCCAAAATTTTGTATCTTTTTGCTTTTAATACAATTACCTTTAACTTTCAAAAAAAAAAGGATTAGATTTGGTCCAGTCTGACCTGACCCAACATGGATTTATTTACAAATAGACCGAACCCAATTTATACAAACCGAGTCCAGAGTTGATCTCATTGAAATGCAAATGGATAGGATTATGTCGGATTCCATCCAAAATAAATAAATAAAACATCAAATTTCACACAAAAAACCTAGAAAATATTAAGAAAGTACACAAATATTAGAAATTTCACAAAAATATATAAATGCAAAAAAATAAATTCATCATCACATGAATCAATTTTGCAACCGATATGTTGAGCTCAACATCACCGTTGATGCTGAAAACTCCAAATTTCGGAATTCAAATCACAATCCCATATTCTCCGAGCAATTTTTCTTATCTTTTGGGAATTGGGAGTTTTATCAATGTTTTCAGTTTCACTGCTGACCCGAATAGTTGAGTCGTTTTATCAATGCTTTCAATTAGGAATGGCAACGGGGTGGGGAGTACATTTCCCATCCCCGACCCCGACCCCCAAATCACCCCCCATCCCCATCCCCGATCCCCGATGGGGAAAGGAATCCCCCCTCCATCCTCGATTTCAATGGGGATGAATTCCCCGTTGGAGACCCGAATCCTCAAAATTAAGAGAGAGAGAGAGAGAGGACCGTTGGGACATGGGAGAGTTTATGTCGATGATAACTGATGAGAGAGAGTCCGAAGGGTGACAACGACGGCGACGATGGTCGGCGGTCTACGAATCGGTGACGAAGACGAAGTCTCTTCCTCAAATTCTCTGGCCTCTCCTCTATTCGATGTCCGACGGGCGAGTGGGCAGTGGCAACAGTCAGCGACGGCGGTTGGCGATTCGACGACTAAGATGAAGCTACGTTTACTGGTTTTGTGGTTCAGTCGCCTCTCTTGAGTCTTCTTCTCTATCGAAGATAGAAGAATGAAGACCGGTAACTGGTTTAGTCGAGGATTAAGGGTTTTCCAACTTTTCAAGTTTTCTTGTTTTTTTCGAATCATGTTTTAGACTTTTAGTTTTTACTGTTTTATAAATAAATTAATAATTATTATACTTATATAATATATAATATTATATTAAATATTAAATATTAAATATAATATAATATTATATAATATTAATCAGGGACGGGTTGGGGTAGGGATTGCATTCCCCCTCCCCGTCCCCAACTCCAACCCCAACCCCGCCAAGGTACCTCCCATCCCTGACCCGAGTCGGGGAGCTTGGGTACCTGTCGGAGACGGGGAAAATTGCCACCCCTACTTTCAACCTTACTGTTGACCCGAAAATTTGAAATTTTGAAGAACAACCGAAAAGAAATTACATCACCTTTGTCCATTGACCCGAATTCTCCAAGTCTATTTCCTGTATTTAAGAGATTTTTACTTTTTATGGTTTAAACTTAAAACTTTAACCTGCAGGCTGCAACTTTTCTTCCTCTCTTGCATTGCTCTACTTGCAATGACTATACTTTTTAGATCAATGGAAAAATAAGCTCCCCAGCAGCTCTTGTCGCGTTGTGTAGAATCTCATTTCCTTTTCATTATTTAGGGTTTGTGCAGAAATCAATCAATTTTCTGAGTCACTCATTTTGAATTATTTGAGAACGGCTGGACGTTTCGACTCATGGTATTTGTCCAAAATTCGGTCCACTATTTGTATGAATCATTTTTATGTTTCTCGTGTAAATATTTTGTATTTGTGTGGCTGTAAAATTAAGAAAAACAATTAATGAGGACATTTATGATACATAGGCACCATTAAGCACCACTAGATCTGTTCATAGGCTGGGTAGCCCGATGGCCCGGCCCGCACCCTGGTCAGGCTTGGTCATGTAAGTAGGCCCGTAGGCTTGACCTTGGGCCTAACGCAGTAAGCCCGATTGTGTTACGGGCCGGGCTCGGGATTTGTCAAAAAAGCCTGGCCCGACTCAGCATTATATATTTTATAAAATACATAATATGTATTTTATATATTATATAAAATATATAAATAATACAATATTTATTGAAATATGTATATTTATAATTTAATATATACATTTTTTATATTTTTTCTTTATAATTTCTCTTTCACTCTCTCTCTCTATTCAGCCGCTTCAACAGTAGTAACAACATGGGCTAAATTTCGGGGTTGGGCCTAGGCCCGAGCTTTGGGCTTTTTATGAGGGCTGGGCTCGGGCCCAAGTTGTAGGCTCGATGGTCGGGGCGGGCTCGGGCTCAGGCCTTAAAAAAATCTGTTAATATAGAGTGAAAGCCCAACCTGAGCCCGATGTGGCACTGTCCAATCCATGTGGCACCGTCAATAAACGTAAACGGAGCCAAATATATACTAAGTTTAAACCGGTCCAATCCAATACAATCTTTTAAACCGTCCAATCCATCTAAATCTCATTTGATTTGGATGGGTGAAAGTGTGCAACCCAAAATCGGTCCATTGACACCCTAACTGACAGGGGAGTTCTTAATCCGATTTGAAAAGAGAGGAGCCTGAACGGAGCGGGGCCGGCTCGAATACGGTGAGATGTGAGATCGCAGGTTGACCCGTCTCGAACACGGTGGTCTGAAATCGTGAACCGGTTCGAATCTGCTTCAGTTTTAAATCTCTGTATATAGTCGCCTTTGCAGAGCGGGACCGGCAATGGGCGCGGGCTGGTATGAAACCCTTGATTTTCTTCTTTGAATAGCTTCACTGGTAGACAGAGCTTCCAATCTCGTTTTTATATACTTCGAAATTTAATAGTTAAAATGTTAAGCACATACGTTTTTTCACTGGTCTATGTATCCTAGCTTTTGTATTCAATCGGTAGAATATACTGAAGTATGAGAACCGCTTCCGGCTTCTCCTATGCGTTTGCTCATTTGTTTTTTTTTTTTTTTTTTTTGTTCTGTTTCGACCGTCAGTTGCAGGTTCAGGACGATTGGTGAACTAGGTTGTCATAAAACCAGGTAAGGATCATTCTATGGTTGCAAGTTTCTGTTTATTGACGAGAAGAAGTTACTGTTCATTCAGAAACTTTCATGCCGGGAAGCGGTTCTCCAATCCAGGTGGTGAGGATATTATTTTTAATGCCATTTGTGTTCATTTAAGACGACAGAGATGGGGATTCTTAGAGAAGATAACTTCAAATTTGACAAATTCGTTGGTAAGTCGGGTTGTTCTAGAGTTCCAGACCTCTCCACGGTTAGCTTTGGATTTCTTCAATTGGGTCAGAGAGAAAAAGAGTTTTTCACACTGTTTGGAATCTTACTGTACCGTTGTTCATATACTGGTCAATGCAAGGTGGTTCGACGATGCCTTGTCTCTCATGAGATACCTGATGCTGAAAAAGGGAATCCAGCCGCTGGAACTTTTAGAAGCCTTGATTGGTGGTTATAAAACCTGTACATCGAGTGTGGCTGTTTTCGATGCGTTAGTTAGGGCTTGTACCCAACTAGGGTACACCAGGGATGCTTATGAGGTAATCAATAAGCTAAGGATGGATGGTTGCAGGATCACTATTCACGCTTGGAACAACTTCTTGGATCATCTCCTGAAGTTGAATGAAGGTGGAGAATTTTGGAATATGTACAGGGAATTGGTCTCAAGTGGGTATGTTGAAAATGTGAATACCCATAATTTGGTTATCTATGCTCTTTGTGATGAATGTAAACTGAAAGAAGCAATTTCTGTATTTTATCAGATGTTGAAGAGGGGAATTTTTCCCAATGTTGTTACTTTGAACATGCTGATAGATGGGGCTTGCAAGAAGGGAAATGTCGAACTTGCCAATGAGATTATGAAGAAGATGGGTGTCATGTCAGGGGAGGGTATCAGACCTAACTCAGTCGCTTATAACTCTCTCATAAATGGTTTCTGTAAAGCTGGGAAAGTGGCAATTGCAGAAGAAGTTCGGGCAGACATGATTGAGATGGGGATTGATCCAAATGTAAGGACCTATGCAATTTTGATTAATGCATATGCAAGTGAAGGGAATCTAGAAGAGGCTTTCAGATTGTGTGATGAAATGGTGGAGAAAGGTTTGATGCCTAATTCTGTTATTTATAATTCTGTCATTCATTGGCTTTGCAAGGAGGGGGATCTTGAAGAAGCTTTTGTGCTATTTTCTGACATGATTGAAAAACATGTTTCTCCTGATCAGTTGACTTATTCTATTCTAACAGAGGGTCTATGCAGAAATGGGTACCTGAGAGAAGCTCTTAAATATCACAAGGCGATTCTTGTAAATAACATTCTTGAAGATACATTTATGCATAACATTCTTATTAATTATCTATGCAAAAGCAGGAACAATGATGGAGCAAGACAGTTGCTGGGGAATATGTTTGTTCTTGGACTGCTTCCTGACCTAGTCACATATAGCACTCTGATTGATAGTTACTGCAAAGAAGGGAAGATAGATAATGCAATCCATATTTATGGTATGATGGTAAAAGAAGGGCAAAGACCAAATTTGGTAACATACAATTGCATTGTCAGTGGTTTGTGCAATGATGCTCATGTTGATAGAGCAAGGCTTTTGGTGGAGGAAATGAAGAAGAGGAATATACCCCTTGATGTTATAACTTATAACACTTTGTTAAATGGGTATTGTAGTAGCAGGAAGAGTGATGAAGCATATTCTCTATATCTCGAGATGAAAAGGATTGGAATTTCACCAAACACAGTCACTTATAATGTGTTGATCAACTTCTTGTGCAAGCATGGTTGCTTTCAACAAGCAAAAGAATTTGTGAAGTTAATGACTCAGAAGGGTCTAGTTCCTGATTGTATTACATATACAACTCTTGTTACTGAACTTAATAAAAATTGCAGTGCTAATCAAGTGATCGAGTTGCACGACTTTATGGTGCTTACAGGGGTAGTTCCTGATAGTTTCACATACAAGACCCTTGTGAGCAAACTTGTTCTGGAAGAAGGTGCATATTTTGAAGCTTGAAAGGGTATGGCAATCTCTCTACTCCCACTTGACTTCCATTTGGCTATATGATGTACAATATTTTTAGTCTTTCACCACCTAGGAGGAAATTCCAAACATGGTGACCATGAGCAAGTTTTTAACATTTTGCTACAACAAATCTGCAAAGTTCTTTATATCTACCTATCTATCTATACACACACACACAGCTGACAAATGCTTTTAATAGAGGAGATAGCTCATTGCAGAGTCTTAATCAGGACAAAGGGTCTCCAACCTCCAGCCCTCTTCTCAGATTTGGTATATTTTGCCAGTATTGTAGTGAGTTGGCATTCCCTATGTCAGTCTTTGTCTCAAGTCAGCTCGTAGAATTCACTAATTCAGTCTATTTTTTAGTTCCATTAATTCCTCCAGTTTCTCTCTCTATTGTCCCATCATCATCGTCATCATGAATCCTGTTTTGCCATTCCGTTCTGTTTAACACCATATCCATTATTAAATTATGGGCACTCAAATAATTTCTTGCTACTTCGATTCATGTCCTTTTTGGTCTACCCCTAGTCCTTCTAGTCTCCTCAACTTGCAACAGATCACTTCTTATGGGTTTAGTTGATGGTCTTCTATACACGTGACCAAACCGTCTTAGTCTACTTTCTCTCATTATCACCTATTGGAGCTACTCCTAGGTTCTTTTGAAATTTGAATGACTTCATTTTTTATCCTATCTTTTCTAGTTAATCCACTCATCCATCACAGCATGTACGATTCTGCCACACTCATTTGTTGGACGTGTTTCTTGAGTGACAGAATTTGATATCCTGTCATAGTATTTTTTATCTATTTATTTTCTATTAAGTTTTACTTAGCTGTTGGATCCAGGAATTCCAATTTAGATCATTTGCCCTTAACCTGGCCTTACAGTTATCAAATATCATTGCTCTTTCTTTACTTTCTAATCCAGTCCAGGATATTAATACCCACCAACCATGTAAGAAGCCATGCACATCCTGTATCACCAGGTTGCTGAAATTCAAATTGGATTTTCCATTGCAATCTACTTCAGTGCTTTGTTATGGAATTCACATTGTTAATCCTTTTCTCAAAGTGAATACCTTCATTTGTCCCTATTATACATTCACAAGTAGCAGGTGATGGGTTTCTTATTATTGAATATTGATGTTGTTTATGCATGTCCCATATGCACTTGATTTCTATTTGGGAGGCTTGACTAATCTTGTACACTTAATTTCTTGTTTCCAAAAGGAAACGATTTGCAACTTAGGCTCGGTTTGGGAAGAGTGTAAATACAAATTTGTACAGTGCAACTATAAGGTTCAGAAATACCATAGACAAGGTTTTGCACAGTGCACATTTGTATTTGCTTCCCAAACTGTGCTTTAAGTTCATTTGGTTCTGGGGAGTGTTCCCAAAAGGCTACTTTCTTGCTTTTCAAATGTGGTATATCATGTCATGACTGAGTAATAGTTAAGCATCTCTCTCAGGATCTTAAAAGCCTAATCAGAAATTCAATGCAGACACAGCTCATCAGTCTGGTGAAAAATGTCAAACAGTTTGCCGGCCTGATCATTTGCATTGGCTTTGGAGTATGCTGGTAATGTGATTCTCAATTTTTTTTTTCTTTTATTGATGGACTAAGGAATGAAAAACTTATATTTTATTTTCTTTATACATTTATCATCATCACCATCCATGCCTTATCCCAATTATATGGGGTCGGCTAAATGAATCCTGTTTTGCCAGTCCATTCTACTCAAAGCCATATACTGTTAAATTTATTAGTGCTTAAATCATTTCTTACTATTTCTACCCATATCTTTTTTAGTATACCCCTAGCTCTTCTAGTCCCTTCAATGTGTAACAAATCAATTATTCTAACTGGTGCAATTGACGGTCTTCTATGCACGTGTCCAAACCATCTTAATCTATCTCATTTTATCAGCTATTGAAGTTACTCCTACATTCAGACAGATAACTTCATTTTCTTTATACATTTATCATTAAGCATATTTTCCTTGTAATTGTGATTGTGATTATAGGTATGCTTTTGTTTTTGTTGTTAAAGCTTTTGCACAGGGTTTAAAGTTCAATTTTACTTGGAGGTGGGCCAGGTGGCGTGTTGGATGGGCCTTGAAGAGAACGACACCAACCTCTTTTTGAGGTATCTCCCTAGGGACTCATGAACTAGGACAGGAAATTTCTATCACACACAGCACTTGCCCATGTATGTATTGTAAGGCTAGAATGAAGCTATTCCATCTTATCATAGTGGCACACAAAAAGGGCGATTATTTGACTTATTGTGTATATAGATTCTCTTAATAAATATATACCATGTTAAACATTATTATCATTCCATTTGATCCTATTGTAATTGGTTGCTCTTTTTACTCTCAGCCAAAGTTGACTTGTCAAACAATTTCAACATTTCACTGAAATTCGGTATACTTGTAAACAAGGTTCCAAATTTTGATACAATACGCTCGATACGGGATACGCATGGAAATTGTGTGTATTGTTTTTTTTTCATGTGTATCGGTATCGACGAAAAAGATACGACCAAAAACCAAAAAAAAAATTAATAAAGGGGAAAAGTAAAATTCTTTCACCCCCAAATGACTCTAAAACCCCAAACCTCATTCCTAGAGTGCTAGATTTGCAAAATTTTACAAGAAACAAGTGTGAATCATTTTTTTTTAAAGATTTTTCAAATTTTGGAAAAATATGGTAAAGAATAGGTAATTTTTTTTTCAACTTTTTATAATATCTTATGATTTCTTTTTTCTTGAATGTATAAATTTATGCTAATCTGCATTTCTTACATCCAAAATCACTTTCTTTTTGTGTTATCTATAGATTTATGGAAATTTCATGAGATATTCAGGGAAAATATAAATTAACAACAAATTTGAAAATATAATTTTTTCTATGCGTATAAAGACTAAATATGTTTTAGATCTATAGATTTATCTATCTTATCCATAGAGCAATTGAAAATTTGTCTTTAATATATATATTTTTATTTTTTTTATTTTTAGAATAAAAATAAATAATAATTAATTATATTTTATTGTTTGATCACACCAATTGAAATTTCTTCTTTAATATTTTTTTATTTTTATATTTATAGAATTAAAAAATAAATAAATAAATAATTATATTTTATCATTTGATCACAATGATTGAATATATCATAATTCTATGGATGATTTATCATATATTCCACAAGGCAATTGAAATTTCTTCTTTAATAACTATTTTTTGAATATGTTATATAATGTTTATTTATTTTTTTTATATTTTTTTAAATAAATAATAAATAATTATTATTTAAATAATAAATAATTATTAATTATATTTTCACTTAGAAGTTGTGTTAATGCATATTTTATGGTTGGATAAGAGAGTTGATTTTTTCCCATCCCATTAAACATTAAAACTTAAGAATTATAATTTATAAATTATAGTTAAGTATATGATTTTTAATGAAATTATAATTAACTACAATATATTTCTTCGTAAAACCATTAAAATATATTAGTTTAATGTATATATACTTCATTTAGGTCTTATATTTAGTGTTGATATGTATTTTTATGATCTATTAAAGTATTTATAGTGTTTCAAAGCGTATCTATGCATATCTTAGGTTTTCTCTGATACACATACGTATCCAAGACGTATCTCGATACGTCTCTTAAAATTGCCTTTCCGATACACTTGGCGTTTCTGATACTTTAAACATTGCTTGTAAATTACAGATTAATACCCTGTACTTTGGGTCTAGTTTCAGTTTAGTATTCAAACTTAAAAAATGCACCATTGTAATGTCTGAACTCCTCAAAATTGCCAATTTAATACTCGCTGTTACAGTATATTTCAATTATTTGTATTATGTGCTGACATGTGGGATTTAAATTTTTTAAAAATACCAAAACTTTTCTTTTTTAAAATTTTTGAGACTATTTAACCTTGGTTTTCTTTTCTGGCAACAGCAAGAATTATTCGTCTTCTCTGGCAATAACGGCGGTCTAAACCCCTTTTGTTATGGATTGAATTACTGAAAAAAGGATTACAACAATGGCAGTTTAAATCACTCTTTTCCGGCAACGACATTGTCTTCCCCCATGACGGAAAAATGTTGCCTCAAACTCAATTCTCAGCATGTAATCATACACAACCTTCCCACTTGATAATTCTTCTTCTCAGAGCATGCTGTGGGAAAGATGTAGTGATCCGGCTGTCTACAATTCAACCTTATTGTCTCTTCATAGTCACCTAACGTACGATACAACCCGATCAATGAAGTCCAGCTGAAAACATTTAGTTCCCAAGAAATGCACAGAGCTCCACTCCTGAAACAATCATATGGGCATGAATTTGAAACCCCAATTTAACTTCATCAAACTTTCGAAGTTTTGGAGGATTAAAGCACAAGTATCAGAGCATTCCTCTGGATCGCTTAAATCCATGGACTGAAAACAGAAACATTATCCAACACCCCGTTACCGAGAACAAAACCGAATTCTTTTACATGTGTCGTTGCTATCAAGGTTCAAAGTATTGATACGTATTGGCTCGTATCAGTTGATATGTATCATTCCGGAACCCTTTCAATATGCCCCTACAGTGGGTGTATTGGGGTCCGATTAGTTCAGGGGGTGGAGGAGTCCTAAACTGCTCCCCTTGAACCAATTGTGAAAAAAAAAAAGCACAAAATGCAATATCAATTTGCCCGATACGCCCCTATTGGCGTATTGGACGTATTGATATTTTGAACCTTGATTACTATTACGGTTCTTGCCATTTTCCAAATAAGAGACAAAAAGAAACATAAATATCCAAGATTTGCATAAATTTGTTATTTAATTCCAGTTAGGTTTCTGAAACATAAAAAAGAATTTCTATTAATGGCCACTTTTTGCGAGATCTAAAATGGTAAGGTTTCATAACTTGTCCAAGGGAGCATTCTTTAGCGACCCCACCCCACGGACAGATTGATGATTGAAATAAATTCATAATATGTCATAAACTATTAAATTTTAGGATAAATTTTTTAAACTATCCTTATGGTTTATCAAATATCAAATTGAGTGTACCTGATTGAAAATTGACTAATGCTATCACTTCTGTTTCTGACAACTAACTAATACTTTCCTTATTGTTAACGTTCCATCATAAACTGTTCACCGATTGTTATAACTTCAAAATATCCAATTTACTCTCTTATGTTCGAAAATACCCTTTTCGTTTTGGAGAGCTGGTATCAGCTCGAGAGGGAGAGAGAGAGGGGGTTCGAAATTGGTTATCTCTGGCACCTACACCTGCATCTGCATCAATGTATCAACACGGGAAGGAACGAAATTAGAGAACGTTTCTCTCTCTCTCTCTGTCTCTGTGTTTGTACCTGGCATGCTGCATTTCATTTGTTCTCTTCTCTTGGAAGACCCTGCGGGACTGACTGGTTTGTAGGAAGAAAAGGAGCCATAGAGGAGAAAGACTCATCCAACACGATCCCCCACTCCAATGGCAAGATATGTGCAGGCGACAGGTTTACTTTGAGTGTAGCATCCCCTATAAGAAGTTCCATTAGTTTACCTGGTACAGGAGCAGACCATGCTGAGACGCAAGAAGCAATATGGTCCAGAGCTCTCTTACCAATGTCAAAAAACAGAGGACCTGAACACACTCGAGAACGGACAACAAGACAAAATGACCACAAACTTCTGCTCTCCTCCTCGCTTTAGCCTCTCATCCAGTGGGTAACACTCCTCAATGACCTGACCCTGTTCAAGATCGAACCTGATACAAAAAGCGACAACCCATCGCTTCAAAGCTTTTGGGCCAACCTTACAACTGGATTCTGTCTTCAACGAGAAAGGAGACCGACTCATCTCACTTTAGTCTAACACCATCTATCATCGATTGACTACGTTGATAGGATTTAACAGAAGAGCTAATCCTAATATCTTCGGTCACTATTAAAAATGTTCTGGGTTTTGAACATCTCGGAGATTTCACAAGATTAAGAAGATCTAAGGAGGGTGTCTTGTTTACCTGAATCAATGCTTCAATCAAGATCGGAAAACAAAAGCTCGACAATGGATCAACTACAACCACAATACATGAGAAATGCCCTTTCTTCGGTAGAAATGGAGATTGCGGCAACATGCTCACTAAAAACACCGGCAACAGTCGAAACCACCAGTAGAGAACACCAATTGATCTGCCCTTCTCTTTTTTTTTCCTGCGCGTTTTGGCCGGACCAAGCGGCAGATCGAGCAGTAGCGGACCTCCCCTATTTGTCTTGCTGAAGCTCTCCAAAAGCTGACAGATCCACCGCTACTCTCCATCGCTTGGTCCGGCCAAAACACAGAGCAAAACAACGACAAATTTCCTGTGCTCTGTCTATACATGAACCCAACAATGATGGGGAAAAGGAGAGAGAAAGAGGGAGAGGCCAATGGGAAAGAAGAAAGAGAGAAATAAGGATTGAGAGAAACATATCTAAAATAATCTTTTTGTCTTTTTGTTAGGGGAAACTAAGGGGTTCTAACGGTAAAGGAAAATATTAATCAATTGTCATAAACAATAAGAATAGCATTAGCCAATTTTTAAACAGTAAAGATAAATTTAATCAATTCATTAAACCATAAGAATAGTTTAAGAAATTTACCCTTTAATTGCTGGCAAGCTAGTGTTTCGTTGGAGATTTAATGGACTCGTGAACTCCTGTAAATCAGTAAAAGAGCCCTTGCGGGTGAAAAGGAGAAACTAGGGACCCGGCGAAAGATGAAAATAAAACTCTGAAGACTGAACAAAAAAAGAGAAATCCTACGCATGCCTATACTCTGTAGCTGCTTATATCCTGAGAGGGAATCGTTTATGACTCATGTCGTGACTGCAAATTGACAAATTGATGACCATTCAGAAAACTGTTTTGGTAAAAATCCTACTTCGGATGGTACAAGATTAATTCACAAGTGGGAAGAAAAGGGTAATAAATGCATTGATGGTAAAAGGGTAAACGAGACGAAGTGTTGAAAGAAAAGGGTAATAAATGCATTGATGGTAAAAGGGTAAACGAGACAAACTGTTCCACGTAGACAGTGTTTTGTACGATTTCTGTTTATTTGATAAACAATGTGCCAAATCAGCATTTATCCCATTATACTGTTCCACGTAAAGATATTCACAAAAGTCTGTCTTGATTTATGTGCCTATCAACCGTTGGAGAAAGACTTATTTTAAGTTTTTCTCCAATGATTAAACATTTATTCACTGTTCTATGACAGTTGTCAATAAACAGTTTATCAAGTAATTTTCTCCGTTTTGAAGACAATCAAATACAAATGATTATTTAATAAACGAAACTAAAGCAAACACATAATCCAGATCCATTGTCATATTATTCACCCTTCTTTCACATGCGAGAACGCGCGCCTTCAGAAAAGATTGCCCAGACAAGCAACTCAAGGCTATTATCTCGTCATAAGTTGCTAACAAGGCCATGATGTAAAAAGACATACATGCGGGATCAATTTAGTTGCAGAAAGCAAATGATGAATAATGTTCTTTGACAGTACGAACTCCAGTTGCCATCTCGCATCGCCTTGAAGTAGCGATTCCAATTTCCAACACTAAATAAAACAATTTTGGGATAACCGCCCCTGAAGGTGCTGAATACCTCTCTGCACCCCATTTGGATGGGCCATATATATATATATATCTAACTATTCCTTTTTTTAAAAAAAAAATTATTCAAAATTTCTTATTCCATGGAAGAAGAGGGAAGGGTTAAGACAACACACGGCAGGGCGTGTGGTAAAATAAGTTCCCTAGATGAATAATGGTGCCTAGAGATGCACACTCTGGCCTTTCTCGCTTCCCACGATGAAGTTTACACTGCAAGGAAATCGATGATTCAATAACTCGACCACTTAATGCTTCATGAGGTTACGGATGACATATGGTAGAATGCCTCCATGGTTGAAGTATGCCAATTCTACCTGGCAAGTGTACAAAGCAGAAGCAAAATTAATCGACATGATTAAAAAAAAATATCTGTGGATGTTGAAATAGGACAGGCAGGTATTACAATGCTAGCTGATTAGAATTCAGAAGGAAAATGAGGTTAGTATACATGTATTTCAGAAGCAATAGTTTTGAAAAAAAAAAGCTCATCTAATTAGATGCAAAGATATTATTATTCCAATTACCATTCAAAGATTAAGCAAAAAAACAAAGTACCTCTGTATCAAAGCGGACTGTGCAAGTGAAAGATTTGCCGGTGTCGGTCACAACAGTAACATCCTGACCAGGTCTTATCTCACTAACTTTGCTAGGAAGGTCAATGGTGTAGCGCTCCTGACCTGTAAGACCCAGTGTGTCTGCATCCTCACCAGGTTTGAAACAGAGGGGAATTATACCCATCCCCACCAAATTACTGCGGTGGATTCTCTCAAAGCTCTTGGCAATCACTGCTTTAACGCCCTGATGCAGAGAGGGTATTAAGAATAAAGTAAAACAGAAGAAACACTGATCTGATCACCCAAAATAGACAATAAGGAAAGAAGTTACTTTGTCAAGAGGCAAAACTACTTACCAGCAACATGGGTCCTTTAGCAGCCCAATCTCGAGAGCTTCCACTTCCATACTCTGCTCCAGCCAGAACAATCGTGTCCTGCCCAGCAGCCTTGTACCTCTAGAAATACCACGTTGATGAAACAGAGTTAGTAAATAACAAACTGTCATAAAAAAGGGAGAGGTATTATGAAACCAATTTATATCCCTCAAAACGGAATGCACAGCAATGAAAAAGGTTGACAATAGAAATCAACAGCTCATGCTTGGGCTGTATTGACTAGCCAAAAATAAACAGAATGGAAAAGGAACAAAGGAATCATTGTGGAAGAAAAAGGAACATGCAAAGGTCTGTTATTACTAAACTCACCATTGCTGCATCAAAGACATATAGTTTCTCCCCAGTTGGAATGTGAATTGTCTTAGGGCCAACTTCTCCATTCAAGAGTTTGTTGACAAGACGAATATTGGCAAAGGTGCCCCTAGCCATCACTTCATCATTGCCACGACGGCTTCCGTAAGAGTTGAAGTCCCTGCGGTCAACTCCATGCTCAAGAAGAAATTTGGCAGCAGGACTGTCCTTGTGGATGCTCCCTGCAGGGGAGATGTGATCAGTTGTAATACTGTCACCAAAGTTGAGCAAACAGTAGGCATCCTTCACTCCATGGGAACCAGGTGGCTCCAAAGTCATGTTCTTGAAGTATGGGGGCTCATGAATATAAGTGGAACTGGGATCCCATGAGTACAGGCTGTTGGCGGGGACTGACAGTTGATTCCACGTAGGATTTCCCTTTGTGATAGACTCGTAAGTACTCTTAAACATATCAGGCAATACACATGATTGAACTACCTGAAAAGCATTTCATCAGGTTAATCAGTGTTGAATATACAGGAACATAGCGTCAGTATCTCTCACTAAATTATCTCCAAAATTAACAGATCATACCTCTGCAATTTCCTCAGTGGATGGCCAAATATCCTTGAAGAATACACTCTTGCCATCCTTCCCTGTTCCAATTGGTTCCTTATCGAAATCAATGTCAACCTGAATGGAATTTCATTAACAAGATTAGCTGTGAACGTCATGGAAATGAATAAATACAAATACATGCAGTCTGAATGTTTAAATTTCTTTGTCAAACAGATATATAACATCATCTGATCAGCATGGCTTAAATTTCAATCTTCAAATAAATCTTCCAAGCAAAATTGGAAAAATGGATTCCAAAGAAGCAAAAACTAATACATGCAGTCTGAAAGTTTGAATTTCTTTGTCAAACAGACATGTTACATCATCTGATCAGCATGGCTCAAATTTCAATCTTCAAATAAATCTTCCAAACAAAATTGGAATAATGGATTCCAAAGAAGCAAAAACTAATCCTGACTAGCAAACAAACAAATGCCAGAATGTGTAAATGTTGCATATCCAAGTGATTATCCATAAATTAGAAAAATTGCTGCCAACACCCGTACTTCCAAATCATTACATCCCCACAAAAGATCAGTGGGCAGAGATCTCAATTCTAAACATAACTTTTCACAGTATATACATGGAACCCTATGCAACATCCAAAACAAGGGTAAAAGACTTAAACCTTCCTTCATATTTATCGTAAACACTGAAACCTCCCCTCTATTTTCATAAAGGACTAAAACCTCCCTTGTTGGGTGATGTCATGAGACAAACATCTCCCCTCTGTTATGAAACCATCAAGATCTGTTTGAACATGATATTCATATGCTGGTAAAATTTTAGAAAAACCCAATTTTGCTTCTTACTCAAAACCAAGCCCCAATTGTAATCTGGCAGTCTCGTAGCTACTAACATCTCACCTCTCTTTCTTTTTCTTTTCCCTTAGTTTATTGAATTTTCCTTTCTCATCTCTCATCCATGCATGCCCTGTGCATACAAAATTACAGGAAAGGGAGAATCGCACCACAGAATTGTTTTATGTTTTACCTAGTTATACATTATGGTATTTGTGTTGTCCTTTTTTAAAACATAGATCAGTGATTGTAATTTCTCTTGTTTCATTACTATTGAACATAAATTTGTTCTTAGTTTTTATAAGAAAACCCAAGAATATTCCATGAGAGTCAAGATATTGAGGAAAAACAACAGCTCCATCAACTTTCACCATGGGATTTGGTGAGTATAGCTTAGAAAGAAAGAGTGGACATACTCTGTATGAGAGAAGAGAATAATCCCAAGCAGTGCTAACCCACTTCACAACCAATGAGTTTTCCAGAAGTAGTTTGCAAGGAATTACTCTTTTCCAGTTTTATAAATCTGATGGGCTTTCATTGGATGATTGAGAGCTTCCTTGATCAACCCAATGTGTAGGCGTTGCAACCTTGAAGTTGAAGGATCAAGACTCTTGTGTTTTCCTATACGTTATGGTTTTGTGGTTTTATTTGAAAAATTAAAAATAACGAAGAGGAAAAATGTCTTTTCATGGGTTCTGTTAAACATAACGGCATCATATTCCACTAGGGGAGGTTTAAGTCCTATTAGAAATCCTAGGAAAGGTGTAATTATTTGTCAAAAACTTCAGGGGAGGTTTAAGTCTTTTACCCAAAAAAAAAAAAAAAACCCAAGAGCATGAAACAAATATGCAAAAGAACTCCAACACTTAAATTCTTCAAAGTAAACAACATGCCCAAGAATCATCCTGCACCAAACCTACCACCTATCTTATCTGTTCCACAAGTCAAGAAAGGTCTCGGCACAAATTAAACAGTGTCAATTAATAATATAATGTAGCATAAGTTGTAACTGTAGTGTGTTTTCTTTCTTTCTTTCTTTCTTTTCTTTTTCTTTTTTTCCTTTTCTTGAGGTTCTTTGTTGCTCTTGGAAGATGAGCGTGTTTGTCTTCCTTTTGTAAATCTTCTATTGATGAATTAATGAAAGTGTTATTGATCAAAAAAATATATATATAATGTAGCATAAGTTTCTAGAAGTTCTTGTTCTACTGGTTGACTGGGTTGTGAACCAAGAATTCAAGATCTAGAGAACAAGGGAATTGTCAGGCAATCCAATTTGATCAACTAAATGGCTCCACAAGAACACAATAAATGTCCAAGTATGTGAATGAGAATTTTTAAGGAAGGAAAGTAATGAAATTCAAACATAATAATTCTATCTCAACCACATTTTGTTCTTTAACTCTGGAGTGATTTACATCTTATCATGCTCATAGTTAATAATATCTGGGCAATGAAAAAATTAACATAAGGCCATATTCTTAACAATATTTGTTTACATACCGTGCCAGCAAGGGCATAAGCAACAACTAAAGGAGGTGAAGCAAGATAGTTAGCCCTTGTCAAGGGATGCACACGGCCTTCAAAGTTACGGTTTCCAGAAAGCACAGCTGCAGCAATGATATCTGCAGAAGAACCAGAAACTACATTTAAATAACAACCCATTAAAAGATTATGTGATAAACCAAAATACATATAAAATTGAGAAAACACTAGACAATTGTAAAAGGGAAGTTAAAAACCTGTAAAGTGATAACATTATGCACTAAGAGTTTTTATCATTCACTGGAATTATGTTCTGGCTTAGCTTTAGATTTTGCAGTTACTAGATATCTAAAAAAAGGGATCATTACCCAAAATTGGTCCCAGCTGTCCAGGGTCTTGGGAAGGATGGACTGGATACTGACCTTTAGCTTTTTCCCCCACACAAAGTGGCCACTCTCAGACTTGAACCCATATTCTCATGCTAGTTAGCCCAATATTATACCATGCACCAGGAAATATCCTCTTTATAACATATCAAAGAAAGAAAACTAAAGTACCATTCTCTGAAATTGCAGAAGCAACTGATTCATCAAGTTCTCCAGAATTCCCGATACAAGTTGTGCATCCATAGCCAACAATATGAAAGCCTTGCTGGTCCAAATATTTTTTAAGTCCACTGCATATAACAGCCGAAGGCCACAATTAAGTGCTTAAAAGATGTACCATGATAAATGTAAAATAGATGATAAATATTTGTTTCAATAAGTTTATGTTGGTTTATGCCAGATGCCAGTACCTCTGGAGCAAATATTTTGTGACTACTCCTGATCCTGGGGCAAGACTTGTCTTAATCCATGGTTTAACCTGGTGAACAACCATTTAAACAATCATTAGAGAAAATCCAAGCAAGTAAACCTTTATCAGAGGGCTAACTTATGGTTAACCTGAATATTGAACATGAACAATTACTGACCTCCAAACCAAGTTCACAGGCCTTTTTGGCAACAAGGCCAGCCCCAAGCATGACACTGGGATTAGAAGTATTAGTGCAGCTGGTTATGGCTGCTATCACAACACTACCATGCTTGAGCTCTGCAGGCTGTCCATGGAATGAAAACTTTGCAACCTTGTCCTGTGAATCCTTTGGTACAGCAAAACCCTGCAGAAAATTTATGTTTAGAAGGTAGGCAATGAATTTAATGGACAAAAAGATCACGAGTAAACCACAAAGGGCTTTTTGCTTGGAGTGACACTAAACTGGCAATGAGGCTAAACTACAAAATAAGAAAAAAATTCCATATATTCTGCTTATTGTTTGTATTACTTGCTAAGACGCTTTAGACTGGCTTATACCTAAGTAAAAATGATATACCATTATCAAGTCTACCCACTGATACAAGGAGTGGGTGACATGAAAAGGTTGGAAATACCAACCTCAAAAAAAAAAAAAAACAGAAGCCAACTAGATCATAAAGCATTAATATGTAGATATATTTGGAAATGTGGGTTGTAGCTGACCTTGAATCCAACTTGGTTATCTAGACAAGCATGCCAATCAGCTTTCATTTCTTTCAAGGGAACTCGGTCATGAGGACTGCAAAGAAGAAAATTGAAATTTCCCATGAATTGAAGATACCAAGATGGAAATTACTGAAATCACTTTGCCTTAGTAGATTAGAATATAACATACCGTTTTGGTCCTGAAATACAAGGTTCAACATCTGCAAGATCTAATTCCAGGTAGGATGAGTACACCCTTTCTTGCTGAGGCTGGATCAAGAAAGAAACTCTGTTACATCTCATACTTAAAAGTAATAATTGAATATTCAGAAGTAAGATAAAGAGTTCTACCTCATTGTAGTCAACAAACATTTTGTTTGCACGTAGATAGGCTTCTATCATTGCCACCTAATGCATAAAAGAAGCAAGGCTCACTGCTGTAAGAACTTCAATTTATAATTCCACTCCTCTTTTAACTTTATGTATGTATTAATGTGTGGATGGGGGAGTTTCAAATACTCACTGTTTCATCACTTCTTCCAGTCAACTTAAGGTATTGCAAAGTCACATGATCTACAGGAAAGAAGCCCATGGTTGCTCCATACTCAGGAGACATGTTGGCAATGGTGGCCCTGTCAGCCAATGATAATTCACCCATACCCTCACCTAGAGTAAACACAATAATTTTAGACCATTTGATGCAAATGAAATGATATAAATGGTAGCTCAAATGAGTCTACTTTAATCTTTAATTCCATTTATTTTCAAATAATATTAAAATTACCATAGAACTCCACGAACTTTCCAACAACACCATGCTTCCTCAACATTTGTGTCACAGTCAACACCAAGTCGGTAGCTGTGACACCATTGTGCAATTTCCCAGAAAGCTTGAACCCAACAACACCAGGTAACACCATGCTCATAGGCTGCCAATATTGAATAACTAAAGTTTCAGATGCAAGTCCATTTACATACATTGTGAAACTTTTTCTGAGAAAAGATAACTGGTTTCATTAAGTCAAATTGTGAACACGCTTCTGTTTCATAAACATCAATTTGATAGCAACAATGCACAAACAGGTATGGTGAAATAAGTGGAGCAAGATTGCTCAAACAAGCACAGTAAGATTAGTAAAACAAAGTTTTTACCAGAAGAAAAAAGATTAGTAAAACAAAGCCACACACAATAGCCTTGTAAACATGAGACATTCAATGATTATATATTCATATTTTCTAGGCATTCATGTAAGCTTATGGCATTAAACAAGAAGAACTACAAAATACAATTTCAGTATACTCCAGCCTGGAAAGAACAGAGAATCTATACTAGTCAAAAAAAAGAACAGAGAATCTACTGGATATAAAGATACAAAGAATGGAACTTCCATTAAATATGTCCATGTTAACTGCAGATATTGGTCACATGATATAACATATGAATGCTTTATGAACTGGTTCTCTGTCGAAGTCCATAAATAAATGAACATACTTCCAGTCCAATGAGAAGATCCAGAATTACACTGAACACCCATACCTCTGAACACAAGTTTTCCAGACATTAAATGTCTGAAAAGTGTTATCAAATGCAACCTTAGTTGCTGTTCTGAGTAAAGTTGCTACCTTTATCAGAATCTCATCAAAAGAACAAATAATAATAATTCCACAACATACTTTACCTGGCCAAGCATAGCTGCCTCTGCTTCAATTCCTCCCACTCCCCAGCCAGCAACTCCTAACCCATCAATCATAGTTGTGTGGGAATCAGTTCCAACCACACTATCAGGGTAAAGTACGCCATCAGTGTTGAATACAACACGCCCAAGGTATTCCAGATTAACCTGAGATTTTGTCAGAGTGATTTACTCTAAAGAATAAGGCAGAAAAAATAACATTTAGAAAGAAATCCAGCATGATCCTGAATTTCGATATGATGACATTTTAGATACATAAATAGAAAGCCCCATGAGGAACCTAAAAGTGGAAGCTATTGCATGTAAAAACACTACGTACATATGATGTAAAATCCCCTTACCTGGTGCACTATGCCAGAACCTGGTGGAACAACAAGCATGTTGTGAAATGCAGAAGATCCCCACTTAAGAAAAGCAAACCTTTCCTTGTTTCTTTGGAATTCTAAATCCATATTTGCCTGCACTGCATTTTCTGATCTAGCAACATCGACCTGGACTGAATGATCAATAACGAGATCCACTGGAACCTGGATGCAAGATATGGTTTTAGAAGACCGGGCAAGAGGGGAAAAGAGGAAAAAAGAATAGGGCAAATACAATTAAAGCTCCAAGAAAATATAAAAGAAATTCATAAATACAGTGTAATACTTAAATAAAATCAATTAGCCCAGGTATAAAGAGACACACGCATTGGGGAAAGAGAAACAAAAAGAAAAAAAAAGGTTGCCCCAGGAAAATAAAAAGAACTCTCAGTTCTATCAGAAACAAGTTATGTGCATCACATGCAAATAAAAAAAGGAGTAATTGATTTTACCAAGTAGGAAAAAGAAAGCAATGATTTGTACAAAAGCATGTTCTTCTTTTATCCAACACACACATACAGATGGAGAAATATGAAACCTTATGAATAACTTCACAGTTCTTCATTTTCTTTCAGCCTTCTTGATAAGAAGCATATTGGATGTCCTTTGCTAGAAGAACTATATTCACATTTATTTAAGGCTATGAACATGTTATGGAAACCAAAACGCACCAAAGGGTTGATCTTGTTGGAATCACCGCCAAGCTTGTTCATGGAATCCCTCATGCTAGCCAGGTCAACCACAGCTGGTACACCAGTGAAATCCTGACCAACAAAACAGAGTTGCAGAAATTAGAAGAAATGTCATAGTTAAAAGTAACTGCAATATTAGCTTTTTAATTATCCCACCTGCAAAAGAACACGAGCAGGCTTGAAGGGGATCTCAACTTGCTTCGGGGAAGTGTTCTTCCAATCAATAATTTTCTCAACATCTTCCTTGGTTACTTGGAAGTTATCACAATTACGAATGGCTGACTCAAGAAGGATCTTGATAGAATATGGCAACTTATCTGCCATACAAAGGAAAACACAAATTTATTTAGTGCCAAATTGTGAGAATGTTGAGTAATAGTGTTCAAGAATCTGATTGCAGAAAAATGACTATCTGATTACATTTTATAACTGCAATAATTTAAACATACTAAGAATTCTACCCAATACATGTAGAAGATGGTCAGTTAGTGCACATGCAGTTCTATGAACCAAAAATCAGACAATACTTACCGATTCTTGGATCATTTATAGCGGGTAAACTGTAAAACTTTCCAAACTCGCCACCCCCAGGCTTGGGAAGACTGGTCAATATACCTTTGAAGGCATTCTCAGAAGCTGAACCAGAAAAACACACAATCAGAACTTAAAGCTAATACCTCCGAAACCCATAAATTAAGAAATGAGTAATGAACCACACTGGAATTTATCTAATTGCAAGACTCCAAGTAGAAATACTCAATACAGGAATCGAGAACTTCCTACCGAAAAAGATGTTAAATTCGCAATAAAAAAAGTTCTACTCGCAAAAAACTTGAATCTCGTAGTTAGGACATGAAAAAGGGAAGACTACTTAATTCAAAACCACTGTTTGGTGCAAGAGTACAAATTTCCTCCAATCAAAACACATTAACCAAACATGATCGATCAATTAAAACGCCCACTTTAGCAATTCGGACACAAATACCACTCAACGTCTTTAGTATACAGAGAAGATGAATACCGAAGCGACCAAGGCGAATTCTTCAATGATAAACAAGAGCACTTGGACTAATCAATCATTAAAAAAGATTTGCATCTTACTAGAGAAACAATCCACGGAAGATGGGCTAATTCAAGAGACAAGTCCTTTTTTTTCCAGAATCAAAATGCAAAAAAAAAAAGTGAAAATACTCTGGAGCAAAAATGGCGAGTCCATACCCATCGTAGCAATCTTGCGCTGGAAACGTTCGATCACAGGAGCAGCAGTCCTGATCTGAGCCCGAAGACTAAGAGGCGACCTCCAATCATAACCGTGGCTCCACCTAGGAGGCGAGGACCGCAGGGATCGAAAAGCAGAGGAGAAACTCAGTGATCGATAGTTGATGAGAGAAGGAGAGTGAGGAGGTGAAGCGAGGGATGTTCTAGACAAAGAAGACAAAGAGGAAAGGGAGGAAGACAAGCGAGCCCTAGAAGCTCTGAGCAGCGCAGCTGACGAAGAAGCCATTGCATAAATGAGGATAGTGCATGAAAGGGAAGAAGAAGAAGAAGAATAAGAAGATAGGGTTGCGAGAGCCGAGAGGCGTCCGCCGCGGCAGAGAGAAAAAGTCAAGAAGACAATAAAGCCTCCCTCAAATTTGGAAGTTGGAACCAAAACAAAAGCTCGAAGCCTCGAACAGACACAATCCTCGAGCGCTTCAATCTGCAAATGACGATCGACTCACGGCGGTCAAGAACTTGTGTTCTGCTCCGCTACGTCCTTTTAATATTATATTATTAAATTCCGCTGTATTATTTCCTTTTATTCTCTTTCCGTTTTAATTATTTTTAATTAATCAGTCTAAAATCTAGAGAGAGAGAAACGCGAGCGCGTGTGGAGAACACTGACACAGACAGGGTTGAGACTTGAGAGCCGCTTCTAGAAAACTCATGGAGGGGTTGAGGCGTTTTCTAAAAGGAAAGTTGCCGAAGCGAAATGGCAACTGGCGACTCTCCATTCATTGTTTTGTTTTTTGTTTCCTTCACTGTTGCCTAGGAAGTTGCTTCCATTCTGTCCACCTCCACCAGGTCCTATTCTGATCAATCAATAACACGTGGCGTGACCGTGTTTGCTGCAATGGGGGCCACCTCTTTTACCCCCCCCGGAAGCCGCCCGAAAACTTGAGGGTGTCCCCGCATTAGACGCCTCTCCCTCCCGTCTTGTTTGACTGTGCTTTTCTCCCTCTAGATTTTTTATTATTTATTTAATTTATTATTATTTGCGTTGCGTGTATCGGTGTCACCCGGTACGCGATCCTCGGACATACCCGACCCGGATTGGTATGGTCTCGATCCGGTTGTGTAGATTGACGGTTAAGTTTTGGGGTTGAACCCCACCCACATTAAACAAATAGGATGATCAGGAGAGTCGTTCGGTACCGTATAACTCCATGAAACTTTGACCATTCTAGCCTAGGCGAATCACCAAAGCCACGCTTGGGAGTTGGGAGTTGGGAGTTGGAAGTGAAGTGATTAAATATGGGTGAACGATGGAATTATTGTAGCTAGACTTTGTTTAGAAAAGTTTAAACTAATGACCAATCATTCATTATTGGAATAATGAAAAGGCAGGTTATAAAAAAAACGGTGCATGTTTGATGAGTGGACTGGATCCACGTCAGAAAATGGGGGTTGACTTGTTATTTTGGTGCTAATGAGGGGCCCACCTCTATGTGGCTCCTCATTTTATTCTCTCCTACTTGCTTAATAAATGGACGGTCTAAATTTTTATTTGGACTGTCAAAGATGCCTTTCTTTGTGACCCCACTGGTTGGTTGGCTCATGGCTGGCCGGGGAAAAGTAGAAGGCCTGAAAGAGGATTGAGTCGGGTTGGAACTTGGAAGTGGGTCGACCCGTCAGTCCATTTAGAGACGTGCATAGAGCGCACCAGATTCTGCTACTTCCAAGGCTATATGTAATGGGTCATGGGCTTCCTATCTAGACCTGTTCACAGGCCGGGCTTCGGGCCTGATTTTACACTATATCGGGTTTGGGTTTCGGGCCAGGCCCATTCAAATTTTGGCAAAAGCTAGGCCCGAGCCTGGCCCATGAACAGGTCTATTCTTATCCAACCACAACGAATACACCACTGTCAAGTCATATGAAGGAATTGGGATTTGCTGTTTACAAGGCTGTGTATAATAGGCTAGGTATTCAATGAAGAATGAATTTGTGATTCGACACTTTGGGAAAAATTTAGGGGTAATTTGAGTTCAGTTCCCCCTCAAAATTCCAAATGCGATTCCCATGGGGATGATGTTTATAGGGGTGGAGATAAATACATTTAGGGAATTAATAAAACAATTTTGAGGGGGATGGACTATAAAAAGGCCAAAAATTTATGCCTCCGAAAAGACAAGATACTAGAAAGACTTACTGATCAAAAACCCCATAAAGTTTGATAAATGCCACTTGATTGGGTACCATTTGTATGACACTGGTTTATTGGTCATAAGTTTTTCCGGTATCATAGTTGAACCCATACTTAAAAGGTGGCAAAATATACATGACTTGAATCATTGCCTGCCTCTTGTTTTCATGTTTTTTTTTTTCTTTTTTGGTTTTTTTTTTCTAAGATGGAATTGTACCCAAAATAGAAAATAAAAACTGATCCCCCTTGCCCTTTCTATTCCCACTCGGCCCCTCCTTAATAGAGAAATCCATGGTTTTCAAAACCGGACCGGACTGGAAAAACCGGGAACGGGTCACCGTTTTCCCCCAAAACCGCTTTTTTCCCCAAAATCATTGATTTTGGTCAGCAAACCACTGAACTGACCAGTTAATCGTTCGAACGGTTTTGACCGTTTTTCAATTTTTTTAATTTTTTAATTTTTTGTCAGAATAGGCCAATCGTTCGAGTCGAATGGTCGAACCATTTGAACCGATAACCAGACCCCTGACCGATTCGATTTTAAAACCCATGGAGAAATCCATTGAATTTATTCGCTTGTTGCATTGGAATTGGAATTGGTTTGAACAATAACGTGTTTAAGTGCATTAACATGGTGTGGGAGCTTGAAAATTACCAAGGATATTTTGTATGGGAAAGATATTATTGCATTTTTTTGGCGATGAGAATGTAGAAACTATTACTCATTTTTCATGCTTTTGTCCTTTTTCTAGGGCTGTGATGTTTAATAGCCCTTGGGGTTGGCATAGCCTTGGGGAGTGAGGAGATGAGAATGTATATTGTTCAGTGTGGACATAGCTAGTAAAAATAATGGGTTATACGTGCCTGAACAGTGTAAGTTTGTTGCTTCATTGGCTGTTTCCTGGTATCATGTCTGGATGGCAAGAAGCCAAGAAGTGAGAAGTTATTTAATGACTCTACTAAGTCTGTTATTTATTTATTTTTTGGTAAAGTCTGTTGATTGGGTGAAAAAAAATGTACACACAACACCTCTTATTTTCATGGGCACTCTGATATTTTTGCCGACTTTGTGAGGAGTGATGTAGTCAACAGGGTTGCTATTCCGAGCTCTCTTGTGCAGAGGCAATGGTTGTAACTTATAATTTCAATCAAGGTTTTCAAAACTGAATCGGACAACAAATCAGTCAGGGGTTCAGTTCTCAGGTCAAACGGTTCAACTGTTCAAATCGAACGGATGGCCTGTTATGACAAAAAAATATAAAAGAATACAATAAAAAGTGGTTTGTTAACCAAATCAACAGTTTTTGGCAAAAAAATGATTCTGGGGTAAAACGGAATCAACCACCTAACCAGTTCTTGGTTTTTCCGGTCTGACCATCCAATCCAGTTTTGAAAACCATGATTTCAATATTTGATGTAATAGGGGCCTTAAGGGGGCACTCTTTTTTTTGTGGATTTTGAGAGGGAGGAAAGTTGGTCAATGGGATTTTGGTTCCCATTGACCAAGAATCCCATGTTCTTTTTTTAGATTTATGTGGGGAATAGGGAAAGTTTATTTTCCTGGGTATCACTTACCATAACCATCTCTTAAGTGTGTAAGGGATACCCATCTCCTAGGCAAGGTTTAAAGTATTGAAAACGTAAGGTGTATCGAAAAGATAAATTTTAAGAGACATCGAGATACGCTTTGAATATGTATGGAAACAGACGAAAAATCAAGACACACATAAATATGTTAAAAAACTCAAATAAATCTTAAAAAATATATTAATAACGATAGTTATAAGTTTTATATGATTGTAAATAAGTTATTTAAAAGTAAAAATAACTGTAATTTAATGGTCTACATAAAATTCGAGACATCGGGAGTTGGGACACACTTAGTAACTATTGACAAATGATGGAATAACTAAAATGTGAAAAAACAACAAAAAAAACTAAAATGTATATTGATATACATTAGTTTTGAAATAATCAATATAATTTATCTTAATATTTATTAACACATAAATTTTAATAATTAATTCTAACAGTTATTAATAAGCATACGCTAAGAAAAAGAGAAAATTAATGAAAGAGAAGGGGACTTGTATCGAATTGTTTCAGAACCATATCATACAGACCTGAAATAGTCTAATACAGACCAATACATACGAAAAAGAACGCTACAGATAAGTTCTATATGTTTCGTGTATCAGACTTGTACTGGAATGATATGTATCAGCCGAACGGTCCGATATGTTGTGAAATTTTGAACCTTATGTATTGGTCTGATACATACGAAAAGGAACGCTACAGATAAGTTCTATATGTTTAGTGTATCAGACTTGTACTAGAATGATATGTATTAGCCTAACGGTCCAATATGTTGTGAAATTTTGAACCTTATGCATATCGGCCTGTTTCAGGTTGTATTGGCCAACACATACCTAAAACGATTTGATACAAATGAAAAAACACGAAACCATCTAATTATACATGTTCTGTGTATTGAAACTCTTCCAAAATGATATGTATCGGTTGGTACGAGTCAATACATTGCAAAATTTAAAACCTTGCTCCTAGGTGTGTAAATAACTTTCCCATTTGGGGGAAAAGTTGCTCACACTTGAATGGGACAAAAATACCCCTATTAATAATAATTTTTTATGACTAAAATGGTCATTGCCTTATTTACTTGAAAAATAAAAGAACATAAGTAAATGCACTTACCCAAATAAGAGGAAAAACTCACCCAAGTAAATTGCATTTACCTAAATAAATAACTTACCAAAAAATAAACAGGCTTAAGAGTGAGAAGGAAGGTTCTTTTGAATTCATAGCAGTTACTCGCACTGAGAGTATACGTGTTGTTGGTTGTATGTGTTACTTTATTTCCAAACCAAAAACATGTTCTTGAATTTCTTGTTTGAAAAACATGTTTTCATCTAATGATCTTTCATCAATTTTCACAAATCATATACTTTAAAATTTGTTTTTCTTAACCATAATGTTGATGGCTTCAAAAACATGAACTGTAAAACACATCCACCTTGTTTGTGCTGATGTGGCAATTTCAGAAATAAATGAAAACAAAAAATTCGCATTATGGAACACCCTCTTAATGGTCTGGAAGTGTGGAGTGTGGAACCACCTCAGTGATTAAGACAGCAATTTTTGTATTGATTTGAACCTTAATTCTGGAATCAGTCGGTATATGTATCTGGCATCTGCACATGCTAGTTGGCATGTTGCCCAGATTTGTCGATGATGGTGGCAAGTGTTGGAAAATATCAGATGTCAAAATCATTCATTTTTGGTTAAAAACAGGTAGAGTCAGGCCAGATCTGCCTAATATCTCTGCTTTGGGCAAAACAGGCAAAACAAACTGTTTATCATACACATGGCTGACTAAAATAGTACTACCATAAAGCCACTAACATGGCATGATGACGATGATGATGACGGAAACAGAAAGACACAAGCCAAAGTACAACTAGTCTTATTTAAACCAAAATACAGGCTCATTATCCTAATATACATAAAGCTTTTGATGTAAACAGGTATAGTTTAGGTTTCAGCAATAAATTAGAGGAAGAAGAGGAAAAAAAAAAGAAGAGAGTTGCGACTTGAGAGAGAATTGATTCTTGGGGTTCCAAGAGAACACCCACCACTTTATACTTTAAGAAAACGGAAATTACAAGCCTGCGACTCAGCGCCATATATGCAGAACCATAACCAACTAATAACAGAATTGATAAATAAAAGAAGAGCATAAAAAGAGCCCAAGCCCACTAACGAGTGAAATACTTTCACTCTTCTCAAGACAACCAAGAAGCTCTCTTTTTAAATAGAAAAGAATCTACATTTTCAAATAACAGGAGCTGTCTAGATCCCAATGCTGAGAAAACGGGTCCAAAAAACCAAGGTTTAAAGTATCGATCGGTATTGGTCGATACGTATCGTGCCGATGGCTTCCTGATATGCCCCTACAGGGGTTGTATTGGGTCACTGGTTCAGAGGGTAGCCGCTTAAACCAACCCCTCTGAACCAATTTCGAAAAAAAATAAATAAAACCTAAAAAAAAGTACTTTGAACCTTGCAAAAAACATCAGCTACATGGTTAGTTTTTTTTCCGCCTTTTTTTGGTGGTCCAGCACCTCCATCACCACGTAACACCTCAAGCAGCATAAATGAACCATCTGGTGTGTGTGTGTGTGTCTGTGTGTTTGTGTGTGCCAACCAGAGGGTGATGATTCAGTTACTACCTCATGCTCCTTCATGCAGCATGTAGCAGCATTCGGTTAGACAAGGTGATTGTTGCATCGCTGGGATAAACTGAATACAGTCATTAGATGCGAGAGTGCAAAACTGACACTGGCGAAAAAAATGTGCCGGTTACAACTTACAAGAGAAAACACTGATTAAGTACCAATGCATGCAAGCACTTGATTCTCATGTCGGTGGTTGCCATGTTCCTGGCTTGAAAGTTGGGCCAGATCCTGTTGGTTCAGAAGGCCTGAAACAGAGTTTTGCAATGTATGTTATAAAACGCTGTTCACTGGTAAGATTAAAATAATAGAGCACGGATAAGATGTAGCAGCTACTGCTTTTAAGTTGTAAGAACAGGAATAGTGTGTTTTTATCAAACAGATGTTGTAGGGATAATATCATATCTTAGTCAATTATTCACTTGATTCTATAGGTGGTTTAGACTTTATAGAGTCAAGAATAGGACGTTTGGACAATTAAAGTACAAAGGAATCTCTCTATGTGTTTAACTAGTAAAACTTACACTGGCTGCTGTTTCACTTGAGGTGGGACTATTTTCTCTTCCTCTGTCTCTTGGGAGTTCCTGCAATACCAAGATGCCATCGGATAGTTTCAACAACAGCAACATCATTTAAAAAAGGATTCATCTCTATGCATACTCTTCACTTGTTGATCCAGCCAGAAATACATTGAACTTGCCCACACTAGTCATCTCTCAATAAACTACCAAAATCATCAGCCATTATTCTCATCAATGACACTATGCCGGCCACAATAAATAATCATAATAATTTTTGTATTTTTAAGCATTATGAAATGGCTTGATTTTCAAAAATCTAGGAAAATAACAATTTTTTCAAAAAAAATTATGTCATAGCCAAACAATATAAGGTTTTCAAAAAAAATCTGCAATATCGTATTTAGTATACAGAGTATATTTCTTCATATGCATATACTTGCTAGATTATACATGTTTTATATAAGAACATGTCAAAGACATGCAATAATTACTTAAACAAAGTGTCAAATACCTATTTTGGGGCCAAAAGTGACCATATAATTTTTCTGGAAATCGAATATACAAAAGATTTTCCTCTATTGTATTTTTCCATAAACATAATTATTCAATGTAAACTGTTTCATTTAGGAACTTCCCATGTGCAAATCTAACAAATGGTAATTTACATTGTATGAAAGCCTAAAAGAAACTTTGCATTGAGCTTTCAACTTTTCCATTCCTCCCACCCTTATTTAGGACTTCCAAATGCAGATTAGGGATTGGGGAATTCCCCAACAATTCTGCTGCCTTACCGGGACAGAGAAAGCAAAACACAAAAAAAGAAAACTCAAGCAAGAGGAAATGTGAAAGATCTAATTACTGTAGTTATTGAAAATGAAGTCAATGGTTCAGAAAATGAAAAAATAAAGATAGAATAAATGAATAACATATTAAACTCTAAGAATTTTCCTTTGTTTTTTCCTTGTATGTGAGCAAGTTCATTAAGAAGAAAAGAGTTGGACATTCTGTTCCTATCACTGTTCCCAATAACCCAATACAACCACTACCACCACCTCATGTGGGAAAAGGAAACAAAATCCTACACAAATAACATCCAAGACGATGCACCTAGTGCCTTACCAGAATGCTTAGCACACAGATTCTCAAAAATTTATTTTATCTATTAAACTAATCAGAAGAAAATAGTACCAACCTCATGTCCTCCATTGCATTAGAAATATCTTCATGTCTGCCACCTTCAAATGTGAAGACCATATAGAAATTTTTGTCAGTACCAATCTGATCAGAGAATCCAATCTGTGAATATGACAAATGGGAAAAAAACAATACTTCAAACTTAGGAAATTGGTTTCATGATACATAGAGGGTCTAAGACCATGACTGATGGTGAATGGTCACCTTATATTTTCATTAGACAAAGCTTAGAGTTAGAGAATACAAAAAACATAGGAGCCATGATCAAAGCTTAGGGTTCTGATGAAGAACTCAAACCTCATACTAGATTAATGGTAATAAACTACCACGAATGCAAGTTCTCAGAATCAGATATAATAATCCATAATGATGTAGTTCTTGATGTCACAACAGTTTGTATTGTTATAGAGCATTAGAAACCCATGCAAGTTATTGGTCAGAGTCAGATCCTAGCATCAACTTTATAAACTTTCGCTAGTTCAGGATTGTAGAAGTGGATTCACAAGTAATTAGCAGGATTTCAACACCATAGAAACATCATTATAAACAAGATTCCAGTTCAGGTGGATCATGAATTTTGTGTCCCTCAGATTTGATGGCCCTGTTGTAGAGGGTTGACTACCACATTTATCATTGCTAGATGATTATCAAGTGTAGAGGTCAACAGGGATTAATTATAACCATTGGATATTAGCAACCAGACTCAAAATCATTGCCAAATGAGAGCCTAGGTCAGCTAACGTTTTGGTGAATGATCTTGTCAAGAATCATTTTCGAAGCATAGTTGTATGTGAGACCCTTCTTATCTTGTTGTTGCCTTATTGGGTTGACAGAAGTTTGGAGTTTTAAGCAAAAAAAAAATAAAAAATTTGGGGTTTCAGTTTGTTATTATGTTTTCATAATTTGTCTCTGATACATGTAATTTATGGGCTTGAGGAGAAGAGACATGATTTCACTGTTCAATATTTTCACAAAAGAATTTAGATGTACCTTCTGTGGAAGCAGTTGGAAATTGTCGAATGAAACTTTTCAAATCCGGACCTCCAACTTTACCTAGTTTATATACAAAGACAATAAATTAAACAATAGAAGGAGATTTTGAAAGCAAAATGCAGTTACCAAGATTTTTCAGGTGACTAACCAGTCTTCACTCGAAGAGCACCACCCTCTTTAGCTTTCCGTTCCTCTTCTTCTTTTTTAAGAACTTCAAAAATAGAAGGAAATCTTAGTAAGATCATTATGAAAATGGTAACAACGCTATCTAACTTAAAGGGACAATACATCATTCTCACACAAGAAACAATTAAACAAAAAACATGAATTATAAGAATGACAGTGAAGCTGAAAACACTGTAACAGAATTTCACATAAGAAACATTTTAACCAAATTGTGAAAAGATAAAAGACTATTGCAGAACAACTGAAACCAGAGATAAAATGCCTTTTTTTCAGTACTTCTATAAGCTTAGAAGTGAATTTTTTGGAATAAAATTCAGACCACAACATCCAAAACTGAAATTAAATTCTTTATTGTTGATAAGAGCATAATTTTATTAAAATGTGTGAAAAAAAGAGAATAATGTACAAGATGAATGTTCCTAGCAACCCCCCCCCCCCCGATTTAGGCTAGCCCAAGCTAGTTAACCCCATTTTCTAATTATACAATTATCCGCCAAGTAAACTGATATGAAAGTTTAATATGTGAATCAGCAGGTTTTTTTGTGTAAACTGATATGAAAGTTTAATATGTGAATCAGCAGCTTATTTTGTGTATTTACCAAAATAGATCCAAGAGCTGATGGAAACTAACTTAACAGGTGTCCTACATCATACATGGATTCCATCAAATAGTGGTTCAGCTAAGCTCATCATCTGTATGATCTAATTAGCATTGTTCACAATGATAAAGAAAGTGTAATATTCCATATTCTAGTCAAACAAAAATGAGATTCATTAAGTCAAACGGACCATCATGGAAGACTGCAGGTATTTCAAAGACAATATATCTAAACAAGATAAAAAGGTCCATTACCCAATGCTTCCAACTATCTAGGGTCTTGGAGGGGTGGACTGGATATGGACCTAACCTTTGGCATTTTTTGCACAAAATGGAAGCTCTCAGAATCAAAACCATATTTTCATGCTTGTTCTCCCAAGATTTTACTATTGCACCAAGCAATGCCCCCTATATCCAAACAAGGTCTATGCATGAATTCTTACATAGGCAAATTCTGTGGGCAACCATACACAAATTGGAACCAGAATCAAACAACCTGATAAACAACTAACCAAAACCCTGTTCAAAACAATATATATCAAGTAGAAGTTCCTCTGGCTATGAGATACCAAAATAGGCATATCAAATAGGAACTTGTCTGACCATAAAATATCTAGATAGGCATCAAAGATAAGAGGAATTAATTACAAAAGGTACCAAAACCATCTTGGTCAACCATTCAACCAATGGAGTTTTGAGCTGATACCAGCTTTTCAGAGCCCTGATATTTCACATGTAGTAAACTAGAAAAGAAGCTCAGGGATTTCACCATTGGTTAAAAAAAAAAAAAACTGATTCATAAATCTATCCGATAAGAAAGCCAATCAGCAATCTCAGTCCACTCATCAGTCATCACAAAACCTAAATGGGATATGGAAACTGTAATCCAAGATCTCATCCATGGGATGAACAAACCCCAATATAGCGGCCAAAAAGGAAGTGAGAGGAAGGAAAATAGGATCCATTTTCTGCCATTTCCAATAAAGGAATTAGTTCTGCAATAGTTCTGTTTTAAACTGATTATCAAAAAAAAAAAAAGTTCTGTTTGAAACTATTTGGGTGATAATTTAAACTTCTTCACAAGTTATTGGTAAGTTCCTTCAAATAACTTAAACATTTTAACTTTACATCAATAAGGAGGGCTGAGATTAGACATTGTTATGATTAATAAAGGGTAGCAATTAAGTGGGGCTAAGTCTCAAAAGAACCCTAGTTTAATAGAGATTTCTTTTACTGTAAGATACTTGTTTCTTCATTGCCAATTCTCTTCTTTTCTGTGGATACATTCCCATAGTGTTTTGAGCACTTATAGTGCTTCACCTCATGGAACTTGGAGACGTTATATGTCTCAACTAAACTCAAATCAGCCTTAACTACTTCCTTTTAAGTTTATATGGGCAACTTGGCAGTTGAAAAAAAGTAATAAAAAATGGTTTGGTGGGTGATCATCCCTTTTGTGGTTATGTGGGCAGCCTGTACGAAAGAAACAACCACATTTTTATTTTAGTATCAATAATAGAACTACAGAAGATGCTATAAGGAGCATGATAGGCATGTTGTATTCTTGGATATCTGTTCACAAAGAACTAAGAGAATTCCACCCTGTCTCTTTTGAAGATTTGGCTTCTTCCTGGATATCAAGGGGCCATAGCCTGGTGCAATTGTAAAATCTCATGCTGACAAGCATGAGAGCTGGTTAATGAATTCAAATAGGTTAGAAGAAGTGCAAACGGGTTAGCTGACTCCTTCACAAAACAAGGAGTAACAAGAAAGCAATTGCTTTGGGCATCTTTGTAACACAGTTAATTTCTTGTGGATGACGTCAAGGTCATCAAGATGTACTGTGTTTACATATAATTAATCAAAATAATCAATTTTCTATCGACCAAAAAAAAGCATGAAGGCGTGTTTGAGTCTGAGAGCGGCCACTCCCCCCCCCCCCAAAAAAAAAAAGACAAAGGTTAAGCTCGTATCCAGTACACCCCTCCCAAGACCCTCAATAGCCAGGTTTAACATTGTCTAATGACCCGTTTTGTTCAAAATGACTAATTTCATAGAGGATCTTATTTTGTTTTGCTTATCTCTTTATAAGATCATATTCCAATCCTCATGCAAAAACAACTCATCATATAGGGATCTTACAAAAGATATGCTTATATTATATTTTTTCCTTGAAAAAATTGAAGTGCTTTATTAAATTTTCTATATCAGACGATTCAGACCAAAGAAGAAAATGGGGATATATAAAGATGACATGTATGACCTATATAGAGAAAAGCTGTACAAAAAGCCCTAATGCACCTTAAGCACTGAAAAGAACACTATGACTAAAATAGCATGAAGCACCACCCTAATATGCATAGTTCCTTTGTCTTTTCTCAGAAAAAAAGAAAAAAAGGATAACTTTCTTTTACAGCAAGAGTGCAGAAATTTTAGTTCTTGATTTTTATTTTATAATTATTGCATTAAACAGGGTTTTAACATTCTGGTTTCAAGGGTTGGCAGAAATTTTGATGAAATAGGATGATAAGTAGCAATATTTTCAACCCACCATTGACCCAAGCGTTCAAACTGTTCAAACTGTCACCCAACCTTATTTCCAGGTCTGGTTTTCCTAGAACCCAGGATTTTATGAAAAGCCGTTGACATGGTCAAAATCCGTTCAACCTAGGCAATTGAACTGTTTACCCGTTCAACCTGGACACTGGGTCACAGGTTACACACTACATGTATAAGCAAACTTCCAGACCACAATTTTGCACTCGGTTATCTGATTGGGGTGATCTTTATGTTGATTTTAAATAACTTTTCGAGATCTATGCATTCCAAGATGCTATTTTTGTCAATAAAAACCTTTTCTGGCCTCAAATCAGGGTCTGACTGGAGACCCGCAACCCAGAAGCAAAAACGGTTCAGCCTCTGGGCTGGTTTTAAAAGCATTGATAAGTAGAGAAGAATTAGGAAGATAGAAAATCAGATAATGGGAAATAGGAAAGAAGCAGATAAAAATCAGAAAAGATAAACCTATTCCAGTTTCAATATTTTCATAGATTAAGTGTAAAATCTTGAATTTCCAACCAGTTCAAAGGTAAGGTATTACAATAAGGTCAAAATCTAGCTAAAGAAATTATATTTAAAACCCTGCTATGTAAGTAAAAGTGGAGACTTAACGTAGGCATTAGCCGACAGTGTGGTGTGAAATTTTTAAGAAGTTCCCATACAACATAATCCACTCAATGAAATGATTGAGCTTTTATTTATTTAGGGTGAGGTCCATTCAAGGAATCATATAGAGAACACCTTTTGATTCTTACTTGGAGATATGAACATATAGAACAAATAAAAAGAAAAATAGGGAATCCTAAAAAAAAGAAATTTCCATTTGCATTTCTTTAGATATTTCAAGTTTACAAGAATGAGAAAGAAAAAATACAATACGGAAACTTTACAACATCATATTTCTCTCTCTTTTGTTTGGTACAATCATTTCTTTCTCACTCTTTTCCTTTTTCACAATAAGCCATAATCAATTGGACAAAATTCCAATTGCAGATGGCATATCTATCTTCTGGTCTTTGTATATGGGGAGGGAACCACAGTGAGTCAGATTGCATATCTAACTATAGATGATTTTTATCCCTCTTTTGTTCATCTGCATTTGAAGGGAGCCATAATCAGCCCTTGGGAACAAGGCTGTAGATGGCTTAATCCATAACCTGTTTTGGTAGAAGAACCATAACCAACCAAAGTAGAAACACCTAGTCTTACATGGTTTCCTTTTCCCTTTTCCTTTCAAAAAACAAAAAGTAAATGAAAGAGAGAAGGAGAATAATATGCAATTGTGAAAATAAAAGATATGTGCAAGAGACATTTGCAGAGAAGACTTCCCTTCACCTACTTGGGGTTTCATTCTTCTCTTCTCTTTCTCTCCCTTTCTTCACGAAACTTCTCTTTGTATTCTCTCTTCACTTTGGATTTTCTTAGGACTCTCTAGGAGTGTTGTTCCCTAAGACACAATTTCTCCAAAGGAGGGCTGAAGACTCCTACTAAGTAGCTTAAATAGGGATTGAGGTGGTTATGCAATTAACCCCTCCCCCTATGAAAGACTCCTAGCCTTCCCACTTAAAGAGAAGAAACACCCATATGGGTGTTAGTGGAAATCTTTTTTTTAGTATAATTTCTCACATAACACAATTCACCCAATTAAACTAATAATTGGGTTTCTTTTGTTATTTGGGTAAACCCCATTCGAGAAATCATGTAGATATTCCCTTAATTACATCTCTGCTAGAGGCAGAGAAAACCTTTTGATTCTGATTCAGAAGTACCAATGAATAAAGACTAAACTATGTATGAATTTTCTACAGAATTTTCCTTTGAAAATTCTGGTATATATTCCCTCTTTGTTTGAGAGAAAACCAGCATAT